GAAATAGCGAAAATATACAAGACGAACACAGAGCAAAAAATAGAAGCAGCGCAAAATAAATGGAGGCATCAGAAGGTGGAGTGCATATGGCAACATGTCAAGGAAATAGTGCTAAGTACAGCAAAACAAGCTTGTGGAAATATAATTATGAACAATAATAAAAAACAAACAAGGTGGTGGAACCAAAACATAAAGGACGAAGTAAATATCAAGAAAAAAAAGTGGAAAGAGTACTTGGCAAAGAAAACAGAAGAAAGTTATGCAGAATACAAGGAACAACGCATTAGAGTAAAAAACCTAGTAATAGAAGCGAAACAGCAGGCTTGGGAGGAATTTGGAAGAAAAATGGAAGAAAATAGAAGGGGCAACCCTCGGGGCAACCAAAAATTATTTTATAAAATACTAAAGAATTTGAGGAAACCAAAAGAGCACAAGCTAAGGCAGGTTACAGGAAAAACCAACAAAGTAATAACAAATGAGAAAGGAATAATGGATAGATGGAAAGAGTACTTCCAAGAACTATTGAATAGACACGAACGGCAGGAAAAAAGTCAACAAGAAAGGATACAGGCTAACATAGACGAAGGAGATTTGGGTATCGAGATAAGTATAGAAGAAGTAGTAGACATAGTGAAAAGTTTGAAGTATGGAAAAGCGCCAGGACACGACAAAATAACAACTGAAATGATTAAGCGACTAGGGAACAACGGCATGGAAATGCTATGTCAATTACTCAATAAGGCTTGGCACAGTGGTGAAGTTCCAGAAGACTGGAAAGTAGGTATAATCATTCCGATACATAAAAATGGGGATTCAAAAGATTGTAAAATCTACAGAGGAGTAACACAGCTAAGTACGGCTGCAAAAATTTACGAAAGTATATTAGAAAGAAAACTGAAACAGGCAATAGAGTATCAGCTGGAAGAATCGCAAAGTGGATTTCGGAAGGGAAGGTGCATCCAGGATCACATATTTACAATTAAACAAATCACAGAAAAAGCTCTAATACAACAGAAGGTCGTGTATTTGGCATTTGTAGATCTCGAGAAGGCATTCGACAGCGTATCGCAATCTCTTGTTTGGGAAAGTCTAGGAAGAAGAGGAATAAATGGAAAACTCTTAAGAGGAATCAAAAGTGTGTACACAGAAAATAAAAATTATGTGCGAATAAGTAACATGAAGTCAGATAAATTTGAAGTAAGGGAGCGACTAAGACAAGGGGGGGTATTAAGCCCGACATTATTTATAGTAGTGATGGACGATATTATAAAAGCGACATGTGATAAAACTAAAAAAGTGCATATAGGGTACAATAAACTAAGGCCGGTTCAAATAAGTGAATGTGTATTCGCGGACGATATAACAATTTGTGCAAAAAGTGAAAAGGACTTGCAACTAAATCTAAAAACATGGAATGAAGAACTGAAGAAAAGGAAGATGAAAATAAACCCTCAAAAAACAAAAGTAATGGTAATAGGAAGAACAAATATTACAATGCACATAACAATTGATGAAGAAAGAATAGAACAAGTTGACAAATACAAATATCTGGGAGTCATAATTCAACGAGAGGGGAATATGGAAGAAGAAGTTAATGAAAGACTGAGTAATGCAGCAAAATTATATCACACCTTGAGCAAGACATTTTTAGCAAAACGAGAGATCACAAACACGACAAAGATGGCGGTGTATAAAACGGTTTATAGACCGATTCTAACATTTGGAGGAGAAACATGGAATCTCACGAATTCTTCAAAAAGTAAAATTCAAGCCATGGAAATGAAATTCCTTAGGAGGATATTAGGCATTACACGAAGAGATAGGGTCAGAAACGAAATTGTGAGAGCGGAACTCGGAGTGGAACCAATCATACAGAGGGTGGAGAACCAACAGCTGCGGTGGTTTGGGCATTTAAACAGAATGCAGGACAACATGCCTGTAAAACAAGTTTGGGAATCACGGTCACAATCTAAAAGAGGTAGAGGGAGACCAAAAAAGACGTGGAACGATCAACTGGCAGCAATTTTGAAATCTCGAGGTACAACATGGGTAGAAGCTAAGAGACATTCAAAAAATAAAGAACAGTGGAAAGAATTTTGTAAATAGTACTTAATATGATTAATTACACTAGAATTAGAATTTATTTAAATTGTAAATACGTAAAGTTAAAATTGTAGTAATCCTCACACTCTAGGGTAAGAGGTTATTTTGATAATATATATAATTGAGTTAAAACCGAGGGTAAAACAATATACTCCATCAAGTTTAGCCTGACATTTGTTTTGTTTCAGATATTTCTACTTGCTTATACCATTCAGACGATGGGGAAACACTTGTTTACAACGTTTTCTATTAATAGTCGCTACATTTTTAAAGCGTCAAGTTCCTTACATCCCCTATACTATACAATCTATTGGTAGACTCCTTACTAAAATCTTTACAATACACGCGTTTAGACGTTCTCGACATATACACCTTCCCTATTCTGTGCAATAGAATTTCAGCCATAGATCCCAATCAACCCTTTTTGGACGTTACTTGATTATGGACGAAATTTTCTTCAACTACGCCGCGCGGAATACTAAATACATGTAATTATATTGGAGGCTGGCACCGATATCTCACTATAGGAACCGGCAGCTAAGAAGGCGAGAGCAGGCCGTGCTCAGATGAGCAATTTATAGAGTCATGGTGGCTCAGTGGCGCAGTAAATAGAATATGAATAGTGGATATGTGCCTTTTTAGCGGCCGATTCCTGTACAGGGTGGTTCAAATTCGTGGCTCACTATTGGGATATCCGTAACAGTAAGAGATACAGTTTAGATTACTTGGGGACAAAATTTCTCCATTTTGTGACTAAACAAAGTATTTGAAATTTTTGAAAAATCTATGAAAATAACTCGACAAGAAACTGACAGTGTCACATTTGGTTTTCATTTTCTCTAGCTTAAACGGTCGAAAATGGACGGTTCCCGTTAGCACATTCTATGAGCACTTTTTTTCGGAGAATTTGAATCTGTTATCAGAATTAAAGTAACACGCTAGATGTAGACCCTACAGGGTACTACTTTCTTAAGTGAAAATTCAAGATCTCCCCACAAAATTTCACTTCATTCCGTTTACTCCATTCGGCGCTGGAACTTTTACAATGTTACTACTTCTTATTTCTTATGGATGCCTTAATTTTTTTTGTAAATATATGTAAAAGCATCATTTCGTAAAAATCCAATATGGCGCCCATAAGAAATAAGAAAGTAGTAGTCTGTAGCTGCTATATATATCTAGCGTGCTATGAAAATTTTGACAACAGATTCTCCGAAAAAAAGCACCCAGAAGGTGCTAACGGGAACCGTCCATAAGGGTTAAGCTAAGGAAATTGTAAACAAAATTTGACATTTCCAGATTTTCTGTGATATCTCAGATATTATCAACGATTTTTCAAAAATTTCAAATACGTTTTTTTAGGCACAAAAAGGGGCAACTCGCACCGCACTTTTTTAAGTTATTTTGACTTAAAGAAATATTTTACATCGATTCGGCCTCCTAAGTACCAATTTTCAGAAACCTACCTATTTCACTTTCCCAAAAATTTTTACAAAAAAACACCCTGTATAATGCGAGTCAACATTTTAAATCGAATTCTTTGTTATACATCCAAATATGGAACAATATTAACCTCAATAAAGAACATTAGTTTGTGAGACTTAGGTATCTGAATTTTATATGCCTATTTGAAGACCATCAATTTGGAATTATAACTTTAATCCAAAAGCTAATAATGAAACAAACCAAACCAAAAATCCTCTAATTAAAATTATTAATTTAATAAAGGGCAATTTTGGTTTTTGTCTGAGTATAACAAAGGCATGGAAGGGGGTATATACGATAGTTTTGAAGGAAGCATTTTTGACTAGAAATTATGACACTAGGAATTTAGCATTATAATTCCTATGCAGCTCAGCGCACAACTGGTATATTTAATTGGTAATTTTATCCTCTTTATCCAATTGCAAAGTGTTAAGAGCATAGTGTCACATGCAATGTGGTCCGAAACAAGGATTTGCAAATAACTCAAGAAGCTTTGAAAAAGTAAGAATAAGAGCTTGTGTAGGACTTTCGAGCTACAAGAGAAAAATCAAAAAAACGACAAAAATAAGGGTTGAAATAATTTAAATCAGTAAATTTAATAGCGATTTAAATATGAAGTTGTAATATTGAAAAAAATTTAAATTTCAAAGAGAAGCTCAATGTGTAATATAAATACCGGAGTAGTATAGACCATCTTAGGACCTTCTGCAGAGGCACCTCTAAATAGCATTATGCGGGTCACTCTGTAATTGGGCGTATGCCTGTTGAGGGCCCAAAACAAGAGAGGGATAATAAAAAAAAAAAAAATAAAAATAAAAATAGAAGCAACATTGTACTGGATGTTATTAAATTTTTCACTCCCACATAATTCCATTTTCCGGGAAATTAAAGATAAATTTCATCGAGTCAAGGTGGTGCAATCACCCCCTTTAAAAAAATTTACTCGAACATGGAGTCCCTAAATACTCCAAATCCAGTCCCAAACTTTTCCTACAAAGGGAATTTTTTTCACGCGATTTTTAGGGCCATAATAATTTACATTTTTCACATCCTGATATGAGGTTGTTTTGCATTCGAGTCTCACAGACTATTTGTCTCTGGGAGCAGGACAATTACCTTTTTGCAGTTAATTTTTGTTGTGTAGGACCAACAGATCGGACTTAACATATGGATATGTTGGTGTGCAGTTAGGCGGATTTGCTTTTGGTATTTACCAGTCAAAAGAACCATGATTATATTTTGCTTGCTGTTAACTTGGCGGATCTGTTAATCACTGGAAAATCGTACATAGACAATTCAATATTTAGATACATGGTACACACAAAATGTGAAAGAATGTTGTAATAGATTTATCGCTTTGCTGAATTTGCCAAAACATGATTGATTAACCAAATAAAACCAAATAACGTTTAGAAAAAAGAAATAAAAACGAAAGCTCACCTTTAAAGAGAGTCCAAAACACGATCGGCAGTAGCTGGCAATTCCAAGACTAATTAAAAAATGTCTTTTTAAAGCTTATTCACGACGGTAGTATAACGAGAGCAAAATGACCCCTTAGTTACGAGTCAAATATCTACTTTAAATAGTTATTAAGATAGGAGATCTGTAGGTTATAAATATTACTTATGTAACAACGTTAAGTCACTAACACTTCTAATCTGCTTCTTTCACTATATCAAACGCGAACTAACTTTTTTAGTACAAATACTAAAATAACCGGGTTGTGTAGGTGTATATAAGGGTCGGGTTTTGTAAATTATATCCCGCGGTCAGCTCTCCCTCATAGTTGATGTACAGGGACGCCACCTGAAACAAAAATCTATTTTAGCGCCAGACCTTGAAATATTATACAGGGCGAAATTAATACCATAGCAACCACCTATTACACAAAGAAATGGACGGTTAAGCACCCGCATCGAACCACTCAAGAATAGATTGTGTTATTTATTTAATTTGTCACCCGCATATCCTTGATGGGCCCAGATGTCTTTACACGTTACGTAATTAATCAACATAAACAATTGAGCGGCTAATACATTCGACCATCCTGTACAATTTAAGGCTTAGCTTCGTGTAGGCAGTTCAATTAGTTAAAGAAGATTCTAGTATTGCTAAAAACGATGCGTTGCGCGTGGGAACGATTCGTTTATTTAGATTGATTGTCGTTTCTTATACAAACAATGCGAAAGAGCGAATTTAAGAAAACAATCAGTAAAGGATGTTTAAAAAAACCATCTTACTTCTATAAACTAACATTTAATTAAAGGCAATTGGCCTTCGTAGTTGACCTTGTTAACCAATTTAAAGAGTAGCGCTTCGCTTCTAGAATCTTTAAATGGAGTTCTAATTTTACACGTTCTGACATTAAATATACGAATTCCAGATCTACTAACACAATGAGGATGGCGGATAGAGTCAGTAAACCGGGGAATCGATGGAAGAGGTTCGCTTTTTCGACGGATTTTTGGGATGCTGCCATATACTTCTGGCAGTTAATGGCCCTACCTGCTTTGTATGATGTGCAGCGTTTATTATTTGTGTATTGCGCCCACTTTACGCTAAAATTAAAACGCGTTTTTGGCAGCAATCAATTACCCTTTACTATAGGTACAGATACATAGAAACACAATTATGGGGGGTGGATAAGGCCACACATTAAAGCTTTATCTTGTAAGAGCGAAGAAAGCAACATCATAACAGTAGTTTATAAACACTGAACGATTTTAACGCAACAAAGAGGCTTCGATTTACTAGATCCCTTGGTATCAGAAGTATATTCTTGTAATTTTTTTAAGTTTTTGAAAGCAACATTTCCAATCACACTGATGTATTCGAGTATGATAAGTTTAACTGAGACACCCTAATCCATATATCGCCGATTTGAAATTAAATATGTAATTTTTAAGAATTTATTTCGAGGGTAAACTGTAGCGCTGCCTCTTACATTGTTCATTTTATTTAACGGCCTCCACCCTAAAATTATAACCTTTGTCGTTTAAAAATTAGCAAGTGTTAAGATAACTAGACCTGTATTCCTGTACTTTCAAGTTTAAGGGGCGATCCCTCTGCAGTGCATTAAATATTTTGTTTCTTTGGACGATTACGATCCCCTATAAAGGTGCTAAATACAACCCCTCAATTTTTAAGAAATTTCGCTCTTAGGGTTACTTTAGCAGTGAAGGGTAAGGCTCACTTTGATGTATCACATATTTTTGTTGCTTCCACCTCGACCCGTTTTGAGCAATTTTTAAGCAAATCGCATCAAACATCCTTGTTTCTTTGAATGATTACTTTTAAACAGCCCCTAGTAAATGCGGATTAATCCCTCGCCATTTTGATATTACGTTTCACCCTCATTTACAATCCATTCATCGCATAGAGTGTAACCTGCAATGCATTAAATAGTTTTTTTTCATTGACTGATTACGTTTAAAAGGCCCCCCATTAACTCTCTAAATGCGTAAAAAACATAACTTCCGGTCGTTCTGACATTACGAATTCTTCAAAAACCTCCTTGTTATCATGCCACTATAGGCAGGGGTGAATTGTGGCGCAGTAAATATCTTGGTTTGTATAATTGATTACGTTTAAACGGACCCCTAACAATCCTATAGTGCTCAATTTTTTTAGAACTTGCACTTGATAGTCATCTAATGAGGCGGGAGGGTGAACTTTTGTGACTTTTCTTGAAACAAAACCATAAACATGAAAAATGAAGTGTAGTAAATAAATACTCGGTTTTAGGATTCACCTTTTGAGAGTAGCAAATCTTCTGGATCATATAAGTGCAACCCCCATAGAAACCACTACCAGTAGTTATTTATTATACAAGGCGATAAAGGGATGTTTTAACGATCGCGCGAATTAACTTTTACGAGATGGCTAGTTTTCCATTTATCGTCTTGTATAATACAAAACTGTATTTTATAGCAGAAACCATATAAAAATAAAATAAAAATAGCAAACTTTGATTCTTCCGTGGTTTCCATGGAAACAGTATTGTTCTGTTCTGAACTTCATTTTATTCCGTACTCCGCGTCCGACGTTTAATGAGAGTGACAGATATAACTAGAATGCGTCATTTGTTTCACTTTATCAGAGAATAAGCTTTTTGTACTAAACGGGAGATATATTCAGTAGAACGTAATTTAGAATTCATGTAAAGACCCAGGTTTCAAGCTAGCTGGACATACGAAATGACGTTACCCTCAATACTTAAGTTTCAATCCTTTGCTACTTTTGGAGCAAAAGCACTGTTCCCAAATATCAAGAAACAAGATGGGGTTAAGCAATGACCACGTCAGAAACTGGCTATACAGGAGTAGGATAACATGGCTATCTTTGCTATTATTATACTGATTCGGTTACATTGGCAGAGTTGTATAGTTTTTAATCCTAATGGATATTCCGATGCGACATTTTGAAAAAAATAATTCGTTTCGTAGATAATTGGAAAAAAAGTGAAAATCGCCATTTTTAAATTCAAATATGTTAGTAACAAAGAGAGCCATCGAAAAAAGTTTCAAATAAAAGTTGCAAGATTCGATGGGATAAATTTAATGGGTGTAGTAAAAATGGCGGTTTTCGAGATATTGAGATCAACTTCCTGACTCAGCCATGGAATTATTTCCATAAGAAATGCATTGCAAACTTCGTGCGTTTGCTCATCTTTGATTAAAATTTCAAAGAAATATCTCTATAAATCAGAAAGTTGACATTACGCAGCTTCCGCATGCGCAGTTTAATCGTCAAGATTTTCCTTGGTTCAGGTGCCAGAGCTATACACTACCGAATGCAAAAAGAACGAACTAATATCTTGGAAACTGTAGGAGTAGTTCGGATAGACAGAAAAACGGACGGACAAAGAAAGTGCACCCAACTTCGTTGGAAAATGCGCTAAAAACCGTATAAATAAGGTTTTTATTTTTGGTTCATGGCTAAAATATAAAAATACGGAATATCTTATGATACATCAAAATAAACAGGAAAAAGAATTTTAAAAAATGGATGTTAAGACATACCGGGTGTTACATTTAAAAAATATCAACATTGGGAAAGATTTTTGGACTACGCCACTGGATTTACGTAAAAATATCTAAAATAGGCAGTTTTTACATTTTGGCAGTAAGATATGATTAACATCCCAAAAAGTCAAACTTTGCATTTTCACCCTGTATTTCAGAATCATTCTGGTTGTGGTGGTATTAAAAATTGAACAAAAAAGTGATGCAAGGTCGCAAAAACTGCAAGTGTCCATCTTTAAAAACAGCTGAGATACACTGCAGCCTCTACCAAAATAGGACACACGATATAGCTGAACAATATCAGCACGTTCGGGTGTTGTAGACTGCTAAAAATCGCTATGAACTGCAGTTTTATTTACGTTCTCAATAACAACTGTCAGTCGAAACCTGTCAAAGTTATAGCGTTATCTGATGGGTCCACCTAATATAGCCAACCAACCCGGTATTTAAACTACAAAAAATGCAACGGAACTGGAGAATCGATATTGACGCTACTTTTTTATCAACTAGCAAATGATCGTGGTCGATTTTCTCTCATCTGCTTCAATATCACTTGAAATAACATTGACGAGGGGTTTCTACATACGTCAGTTACTTAAAATTATTGATATGATTGAATAGAAGATTGAAAGACCTTTCAAATGATGTATCACAAGCCCCTACTTCCTACTTAAAAATGTAGGGGTTGGCACCCTCACACTAAGAATATTAAATTTAGGGAAGAATTTTTTTACATATTATGATGTTAAAAAATAATGAATTTATTCCTTTTATTTGTACCACACTGTACAAGTGTTAAGTGTATACCATACAGGGTCGCTGATAAGCCTGGAAAGAGCCGATTGTGAAAAATATCCAAAGTATCGAAAAAGTTTTAGGGTTTTTCAATGACAGTAATGATGTTAAATACTCGTATATAGATTGGTGATGATCTTTTGTAATGGAACACCCTGTACATTATTTAATAGTTAAATTCTTCTCTCAATTTTAAGCAAAATTCACCTAAATTCTATCGTTTAACGCTATTGATTTAAAATGTATTGAATGAAGAATAACAATAATTAGGGACATCACGAATTTCTTTTGAAAATTCTGAAAAGAACCGATTCTGATGTTTATTATTTTTGTTTGGAATCATTATTTATTGTTAATTCAATCATTCAATAACTTAAAAAATAATGGCGTTTATTTTCTAAACGATTGCATTTAGGTACATTATAATTCATACAAATGTAGCTTAAAATTGAGAGAATAATTGAAATATCGAATAATGTACAGGGTGTTGTATTAAGAAAAATTAGTGTTCCGCGTCTTTATGACCAACCCTGAGTAATTAAAATGATTACTGCCCAATTAGACATTGAGACTATTGTATAAAACTTTTTTCGATACCTTGTATATTTTCGCCGATAATTGATCGTTTCCAGACTTATTAGTGCCCCTGAATAATGCCAAATGTCGTAGTGATCACTATATCACATCCCCGTTTAAAATTACACAATGTTGGGGGTGGAAATTTTAGAAAACTTTAGGAAATCATGTAATTGAGCTATTCAATATTCTACATGGAGAACCGGAACTTGGTAAAATTATGAATTAGAGTTAATGTTATGAATAATATTTGAAAAATTACTTTATTAATGTTTTGTTTTGGGGAAAATTGGAATCTACAATCACCCTATATTAACATAGGGGACGAAAGTAAACAGTAAACTGCCCTACCCGACTCACTCAGTATCGATTATAAAAGCTCTTTTTTGGAGGTTAAGGTAGATTAAGGAA